TCCTATTTTTTATTTTTTTTACAGGGTTATTCACAAAAGGGTGAAGGGTTTGAAGAAGTGAACAATCTAGGCCAAAATAGCTGATTTGGAAAAATTCTCCAATTCAGATCACCTTCCAGTTGAGCTATGTTGTCCTAGATTGTTCACTTCTCCTGCCTTCTCCAAACTCTTCACCCTTATGTGAATAACCCTGTTAGTTTTGAATAGAGTAGGGATGGATTAGAATCTATACATTTTCTGTTAGAGAGATTATCTTTCTCTTTTTGTTCTGGGGACAAATTATTACCACATTGGAAGTGAAGGAAAATCTGCAACAGAAAAACTAAAAAGAAAAACACTTTTACTGCTGTGTGGGTTGCCAGTGGAGAGTTTCCCCCACTTTCTGTTTGGTGAAAAGGTGGGCTGGTTGTAATCCTTTCCCAGTCTATGGAAGATAAAGAAAAGTTTTGGCTATAGATACATTTTAATCATGGCTTTTAATTTACACCTAATGTTCAGAGCAATGTAGCCATACCCATTTTTCTTCTATGCACACCACATATCACCCCACCACACATGTGTCCATCTTTGCAAAGTTGGAAGGTACAGTGTGTAAGCCCTGGAGATTTACCATAGACTCAACACTTCAAGCCCTGGGGACACAGCAGACTGCATTGCTCTGTAGGGACACCACTGACCTACTATATGTTCCAACATGTATTTACTATGCTGGAACATCAGCCTGACAACCTTGTGCCCATCTGGGGACTTTTAAAGGTACTGTTTTTCTCATATTAACACTTGCAGGCATCAGGAATAGTCTTCTACTTTGCAGCTTCTAGCTCAGAAATAGTCTTTTAGAGAGTTCCACCTGCATCATGTTTGAGACTAGGAAAATGGCGAGTCACCAGGTTGAACATTATAGACCTTCGCCAGCCACAAATCACTTTGCTAGTACCCAATACTATCTGAGAATTTCAACCAGCTAGGTCGACACTTTATTTGACACTTGCCCCCCTCTAAACAAGGAATGCCAACACCCATCCCAGAACTTTCGGGTGTGGAAATGGAGAGTGTGTCTGAGTCTAGGCAGTAAGTTACCCTCTGTGATGAAATAATTCCAGGCTTAGTTGTCTATAATACTAGACAGGTCCTGGGACACCCATCTGGCCCGCAGGGGGTCTCATAAGAGGTCCTCTCCTACTGCTGACTCCTCTGCTCCCTCTGATTTAGAGAAAAAGCATTCTCCAGAGGCCCTAATTTGCTATGTACAAATCATGTACTAACTCATAGCATTTACTATGTGATGGAGGGCCCTCTGATGGTCAATCCTAACAATTTAGGAGATGAATGACAGCTTGATTTCGAGCAGTTTTGGAGACTTAGGTTTGAGTAATCAGCCGCAACGGACAATAAATCCGTTTTAGGAAGTACAAGCTTTGAACTAGGATGTTTCCAATCCATTAGGTGTTTGAGGAGTTCCTCTATATAGAGTGAAAACACCATGACAAGACCTTTTCTGACTCCAGCCATCTTGACACTTCTTACTCCTACCTAGAAGCTCTGATAAAGAAATATTCCATGCGGTAGGCCCATTGGACTTATCCTGATTGCTGCAACCTTTAGAGACCTCTAGTTTTTGGACACCCTTAGTAAGCTGTTATATACCGCTGTGAGTACCCCATTCAAGCCAGTGCTCTCCATCCCATGGGTGACCATTGCCTCAGCTGGGTGGAACAGAGTCCTTTGTCAGTACCTGAGCTCTGAGGAATCTTCTGCACTTTTCAGATAGTTCACCTGAGCTCCAAAGCTATCAGCAGATAATTCTATGGCTTAAAGAGGACCCATACTGTAGGTATCTCGAATGCCTGGACCTCTGCCATGCCCTGTAGTTTCATCCGGAGGTTTTCACATCATTACAGGACACTTTCTTTGCACTTTACTGAAATCTCTAACAATGGCATCAGCCATCTCATCTTGGAGCTACAAAACAAGTCCCTTCTACGTCCCTTGCCTATTTACATATAGTTTCTCCGTTCTATGTAATGGAGGTGTGGTGAGGAGGAGGTGTTTGCTGTTCAATAGACATGGGCAATTCGTTTAGTTCTGAATCCAAATTCGGAAGAAATTTAGTAAATTTGGACATTCGGATGTTTCCGAATTACAGATTTAACAAACGCAAACTAATCAGAATTTCCGATTCCGAAATTCGTTAGCGGTAGTCTGGACGAAATTACGTTTGTTTGCAGCAAAATGACATTAGAAAAAAACATGTATTTTTTTTAGTCTGCAGAAGAGGGGGAAAAAAAGCGCGAGGTTCCCCCCAATTCATACCAGACCCTTTGGGTCTGGTAGGAATGTTAGGAGGGACCCCCAAAGTTAAAATAAAAAAAGTGCGTGTGGTTCCCCCTCCACACCAGGCCCTTTAGGTCTGGTAGGAATTTTAAGGGGGGGGAAAAACGTGGGGTCCCCCTAACAGTCCTACCGACCCTTGATCCGAGCACTGGCCCGGCAGGGCAGGAAAGGGAGTAAGGGGGCTTATTTGCATCGGGTGCCCCTTTAATTAAGGGGCACCCAGATGCCGCCCCCCTCCCTTGTGAATGAGTAAGGGGTACTTGCACCACTACCCATTCACTAAAGCAGTGATGGCGAACCTTTTTGAACCCGAGTGCCCAAACTGCGACGCAAAATCAATTTATTTATCTCAAAGTGCCAGCGCTGAAACTAAGTTTAGTATTGCAGTTTGGATAATTTTTTACTATTCCTTTAATTAAAAATAAATAAATGGCTCCATCGATGTATATTGGGGTCACCCAATATAATAATATGACACATTTGACAGTCTTGGATAACTGCTTCTTCATGACAGGCTGTCAATGTATCTAATGTTGCCACTTCAGATGGAGGATGAAGCTTGTCCTGGACATTGTATTGAAGTACTTCCTAGGAATGAAATACTTTTTCCCATCAAATTGCACTGAATGGTGCAATCCTCTCTTCCTCAAGGTCAAGTCATAAATAAGTTGATGAATGCCTCCTTGAAAATAGGGGCCCACTTATTTATCCATGCCTCTTATTTATGTACTGTCCCTTCTCTGCACTCTTTCCAGTTGCAGAAAATCCTTTAGCTTGAGCTACTGAGCTCTATATGCATGCTTTCTATTAACACAGAAGCAAATTGACAGATGAAAACAGGACACTATGGGGGGAATTTATCAAAGTTGGAACAGACAGTTTTCTTATGGCAACCAATCAGCTTCTCTCTTCAGTTTGTTCAACAAACCTTTGAAAATGAAAGAGAGAAGCTGATCGGTTGCCCTAACCCATAGAAAACTGCTCCAGATTATCAGGGTTATTCACAAAAGGGTGAAGGGTTTGGAGAAGGCAGGAGAAGTGAAAAATCTAGGACAAAATAGCTGATTCGGAAAAACTCTCAAATTCAGCTCACTTTCCAGTTCAGCTATGTTGTCCTATATTGTTCACTTCTCCTGCCTTCTCCAAACTCTTCACCCTTTTGTGAATAACCCTGTAATCCCTTTTAGATTGTAAGCCCTTCCTTATATTGTAAAGCGCTGCACAAAATGTTGGCGCGATATAAATACTATGTAATAATAATAATAATATGTCTGTTCAAGTTTATATGACCCCTCTATATCTTCACCTACTTGGCTCAAATGGGAAATAAAAACTAATAAAATATTTCAGATTCACTTGTGGCCATCATACTGTAACACATTAAAGGAGAACTAAGGGGTTAAGTCTTTCCCCATAGTTCTCCTTAGGGTAACGGGGGGACACAAACTAGCGTCCTCCCGTCACCCTAGGCTCAGTATACCGCGAGCTGTAGCTCGTGGTATACTGAGACGCCGCAGTATACTGCTGAAATGGATCAGAACCACAACTGGGTTCACACACAATATCTGCTGCTGTTCCTAATTTGTTGTATGCGGTGCACCAGAAAAATCACAAACACAGGGTTAAGGTTTATGAAGCTTCTGCTTTATTCAGGGCGGTCTCTCTCTTTTATACACAGATAACAGAAGAGTGTTCGTCACACATATGCCCACATCTGTTATCTCTAAATGTCTTGTACTATTGGGTGAACTAGAGGAGCTGTTAGTTAAAGTCTTGTGTCTCTCGCTAATTGGTTAGTCAAAGATATCTTCTGCCTGTAGCATCCTCCCTCGGCATTCTTTTCATGCACCTCGGCGCACTTCCAGATACAGGATACATCTTGGTTACACGTAGCAACGCTAAAGCTGAGTAAGGAAAGTCACAAAGCTAGGAAACAAATTCAATACATAGAAAAGAACATTTTCTTGATATGATCCATATTCCTTCACACCACGAGCAGCTGCTCGCGGTATACTGAGACGCCACAGCTGAAGCGGATCCCGACAATTGTGTCGGAATCCGCCCAGCTGCGTGACTGACAGCTGGCTCTGCCTATCAAGAGGCAGAGCCAGCTGTACCCGCCCCCTCCCCCGTCCGTTCCGCCAGTCAGCGCTGGCGGATCGGAGCGGGGAATCCAGCCCCGCCCCTGTCACGGCATAGAGCCGTGACAGGATCGAGAGGTGAGCGAACGCCGGTATGTGTTTGCTCACCTCCCGATCTACTGAGCCAACCTATGACAGTCTTATTGTCACAGGTCGGCTAGAACTATGAGGTGAGTGAAAAGCACTCACCCCATAGTTCTCCTTTAAGAAAAAGGATCATGTCCACTATATGTCAGCTCAGTGTATATTATTTTTTGTATTATTCAGTATACTTTTTTTCAACATTCAGTATACTTCAGTAATATTTTACCCAACCAGAAGTAGCAGTAAACACCGTGACAACTGTCACAGGCTGCAAGGAACGGTACATTAGGTAAAACAAACTAAATTGCACACACTGTACGTTGCCCTCACTCACCCACAACAAAAATGGCGCACGAAGTACGTCCACGCCTACCAAAAATGTGCGTCGCAACGCTCCGCCCGTAGGACCGCCTACAACCGTTATCTCGTGACGTCATCACGCTATACAATAGCGCGGAAATTTTGAAAGGTTTGGTGCCGGAAATTGGGTGACTGAGAGGTATGTCGTGTTGTTCGGTGGTACCGGGGAAGAGTGCAGGGTTGCGGGAGGGTATGTGGTATAATGTGCCCGGAAAGCCTCCGGTTCATAGAGAGGTGCTGTCACTGGGCTGGTACTATTGTAATTGCCTCACGCAGAGCTCTCCCTGTGCGCACTGAAGCTGTGAGAACAATAAAGCTTGTTGTGAGAAAATATTCAGCATAGAGAGCTCTCCATGGTTGGAGATTTTATTCCTGACTGGAACTTCTTCCTCAGTGTTCATACACACAGACATATGTCAGATGCATGCTAGGTACAGTTTAGGTTCATGGTCACACCTCTGCGAAGGGAGGGCGCATGCAATGCTGCATCGCATGTTGCAATATGAAGTGTGATGCAGGGCCGCTATTTCCTAATGGCGCCCCCCAAAGTACATAGCCATCGCATGCATGCTACATTGCACAGTAGCCTATTGCCATGCACTTCTTTGCAGGGCCCTCCCTATAAAGAGGCAGCCTGGGGTGGGGGGGAGGCAGGCAGCCACAGCGTCTCTGGTTGCTAAGAGCTCTTAGCAGCCAGTGATTCTGTTTGGCATCCCACCAAGCTCACTGATGTCACTGGCGGCCTAGAGCTGAAAGGGTTGTCCAACGTCTGCCACTACGGCCCCCCACTCCTTAGGGTGACATGTGACCATTCACTGTCAGTACCCAAACCTGGAAAGAAATCTCCTCAGGCGGCGATTACCATAGGGACGGCCCTGCTTCTGTAAGAGCAATCTAGTTGCGGTACATAGCTCATGCAAATGAACGGGCAGCCTACCGCAACACCCCTGCATTGTCGCATCACAGATGTGTGAACGCGAGCTTATACAGAAGACAGCATTGTACTGTAGGCTATAGGGCTCACGCAGACAACTGCATTGTGGTCAGTATTTCTATTAGTGTTTAAAGTATAATTAAACTTTTTTTTTTTTTTTTTGCATAAATCTACTGCTAGAGTTAGTGACATTAAAGGCAAAAAAATGTTTTCCCTCCCCCCAATGTTAATGTCAGCACTTACCTTAAATTGTCTCTTAATCCGATCTTCTTCTTTCCTGCTGTTTTCATCTGTCCCTCCAGCGATGCGGCGGGTCTCCGATCCAGCACTGACTCCTCTGCTTGCAGGCACTTCTGATCCAGTGGTGTCTGCATGCGGGTGCCCGCGTCCATAGACTTACCTTTCGTTTCTCCTCGTCTCCCGGCCGAAAATCCAAACTGCGCATGCGCCCGCCCCAAGATGCTTTGTGGCCACCCGAGCAGTTTCGGATTCTCGGGCAGGAGCATATATCTACTGCTTGCTAGCCTTATATACAGGGCTTGAAAAATTTGATAGTGTCTCACCAGTCAGTAAAAAATGTCACCAGTCAGCATGACCGGACTATAGCCTTGCAATTTATGTTAAAAAAGTACCATCTGTTCCGCCAGTTAGCGCTAGAGGATCGGAGGGGGGAATCCAGCCCCTCCCCTGTCACGGCTCTGTGCAGTGACAGGATCGAGAGGTGAAAGCGAACACCGGTATGTGTTCGCTCACTTCCCGATCTACTGAGCCGACCTGTGACAGTCCCATTGTCACAGGTCGGCTAGAACTATGAGGTGAGTGAAAAGCACTCACCTCATAGTTCTCCTTTAGGCTGGGTTCCCACCTAGGCGTTCGAAATATGCGTGTATGACGCGCGTTTTGCGGTGCATGTTTTAACCGCGATTTGCAGCCCACAAAACGCGCGTCAAACGCGCGTTTACGAGGGCTATCCGGCTGTATCCTAATGGATACGCGCGGAAATACGCCCCAAAGAAGCTCCTGTACTTCTTTGGGCATAGGGCGTTTTTCAGCACGTTCCGACACGCTGAAATACGCCCAAGTGAGAACCATGCCCATAGGAAATAATGGGATTTCACTTGCAGGGCGTTTTACAGCGCGTCGATCAGCGCTGTAAAACGCCCAGGTGTGAACCCGGCCTTAATGGCTCTAAAATTATTGCTCTCACTCCGTTTGCGGCGATATGCAACATGTGCGGCACGTAGGCGCACCTGACGCATATATACGTGTGTATGTGGGGGGCGCGGACTTAAAAAATGTTTAAAAAAATTATGTTCTGCTTCTTTATTTTTTTATCAATCTTTAATTTTTTTATTATTTTTTTTTTTTTTTTTTACATACAACTTTATTGCTATTACATGGTGGCCTAAGAAGCCCCCTATGGGATAGCAAATTTACGTAACAGGTCCTCTTTATGGAGACATCAAGATTACTAGGAGTGGGATAGAACTTATGGAAATTCAATATAGAAATACAGATTGATTTTTAAGTTTTTGATCATAGAGACCCTTTAACAGTAGTCCCAGAGGAAGTCCAATGCTTGAACCGGGGGAACACTGGCCTGCATTTTAAGAAGCTCAGTATGAGGTTGGCTTGAAATATGAGGTATTACGGTAGCTATAGCAAAGAGGTGTTGCTATAGGAATTTAGAAAGTAAGTTGATCAGCTTTGTATTCATTATTCAATGTTGTATAAAATACATTGCTGCTTTGCTGAATGCCTTCTGTGTTTTGCTTTATCAGGCAATATGAATACCTCTACTCCTCAGTCAGGGGGACGCCAGAAGCCATTGTCCTTGGTCGGGGAATACTTGTCTCCAGCTACTAGACCGCAGCCCATCAGTGCAGCAGGGACCCCCACTCTTCAGAATTTCACCAGTAATGATGATGAATGGGAAAGAAAACAGCGGAGGCGCTCCAGGGTGATTGATCTACAGCTTAGTAATGCCGATTCTCCAGCATCTAGCATCTCTCCTGCTCAGAGGTAAGTCTCTTCTAATTCCTACCCTAAACCCCCCCCCATAATCGCAAAGCCGTTAAAAACATAAAATGGTGCCTTTGACGGACCACATGGAGTTGGGCTCAAATTGCCCTGTTTTAACTCTGTAGCATAATACTATTACTTTCAAAGGCATTACTGTTTGTTTTTTTTCGGCTTTACAAACGTCTGAATCCTGATGGTCGGTCAATTGTGTGTGGTTTCTGGTGTTAACTTGCATTTGTATATTCAATCCCTGTAGATGAAAAGTGGTTGAAACTGCTGAAAATTAGTGTGTGTGTCACCATCTTAAGTTGACTGATTCATTAAAACAATGCACTCCTTTTATGCCTTATATCTTATCTTATAGTGACACTAAACTCAGGAGTTAAATCTTAAAAATACATTCAAGTACCCTAACTACTAACAAAAACGTATCTCAGTTGTGTATCATTCAGCCGTAGATCCTCCAATCATCTCTGAATTGGTACTGACACTGTCCTTCCTTCTGGAGGGTGCCTACTTTTGTTCCCCATGGTCCCTGTGTGTGTTGTAAAGTCGTCACCGCTCCAAGCTCACTCCTGTGATGGACTACAATCTCAATACAAATTAGTATGAGATGCACTTTAACCTATGTGATTTATGTTTTGACCACATTTTCTATTGCTGTAACTAATTGTATTTGGTTACCTTTGTCGTGGAACTGGAGAAAGTGCAGCGAAGGAAGGGCAACTAAACTCATAATTGGCATGGGGGAGCTCAGCTATGAGGAAAGATGAACTGACCTGAATTTGTTCTCTCTGGAGAAGAGGCGATTAAGGGGGGACATGATCACCATGTATAAATACATAAATGGTCCATATAGTGAGCTTGGTGCCAAATTATTCACGTTAAGGTCACTGCAAAGGACAAGGGGGCACTCTTTGCATCTGGAGGAAAAGATGGTTAACCTTTGCATACGGAAAGGATTCTTCACAGTTAGAGCTGTGACAATGTGGAATAGACTCCCCCAGGAGCTAGTTCTAGCTAGCTCCGTTAATTGTTTAAAAATAAATCTGGATGTATTCTTAAATGCACAGAATATTACTGGATATTGAGTTCTTATAGGTATATTAAGCAGGGAATATCCGATTGCCTTATGGGATCAGGAAGAATTTTTTTTCCCCTGTTGGAGCAAATTGAACCGTGCTTTATAGAGGTTTTTTTTTGCCTTCCTCTGGATCAACAGGGTGTAATTGTGGGCATAGCGTTCTGTTTTTTTTTTCCCTCTCATCTCTATAGGTTGAACTCGATGGACATGTATGTGTCTCTTTTTTTTCAACCTGACTATCTATGTATGTAACTTTGCTACAGCTACATAAGTCCTTTCACCATGAAATGACTGTTAGCTTTGTGTCTACACAGGTCTGAGGCCAACTCACTCCTCCTGCCTAAGCTGTCAAATGCTCAGATCTCGGACCATTACTCCACCTGCATCAAGTTATCTCAAGAGAATGTAAGTAATCTGCTGCACATCAGTTGCACATTGCATCCTTCGCAAGTGTATTTTGTTGCTGACAGAATAATAAACTGTGTTTTTGTTTTTTTTTCTTCCCATTATGCCTCCTTAATAATTGAATGCTTCCTGCATTGGAAAGTTTAGAACCTCTACCACGTCTGATTCCTATTGATATTTATCTTACTGATTGTGCCGTGACAGTGTCACACATGGTGGCATATTTTTGTTAAAGCACTCAATGTGACAGTCACCAAAACAACATTTACTGCAGGTAAATCAATCATTGCAATTTTAAATGCATGAAATACTGTAGATACACCTGCAGTAAATGTTTGGTGAATGTCTCATTCACTGCTTTAGAAATATACCACATGTTATTGGGGCATGAAAATCTCTCCAGTGGGAACCTAATCAACAATAAATATCTAACACAGGACATGTTATCTAGAACATACATAGATCTGTGTTTTGAATATAGGTGTATTGCAGATTTGCCAGTTCTGTATGAAAAATAAAACGGGTCACTACTTGAAAAAGAACTGCAGGCAAATAAAAAAAATGTACCCTTGCAGTGGGGGCTACTTGCGCACTGCAAGAGTTAAGAGCTTGTTTGGTCTAGGGCAGGGGTTGGCAACCTTGGCTCTCCAGCTGCGCTGAAACTACAAATTCCGTAAGGCAATGCAAGCCACGGGCATCACTCCCACAGGCAGAAGCATGATGGGATTTGTACTTTCAGCACAGCTGGAGAGCCAAGGTTGCCTACCCCTGGTCTAGGTCCAGCTCCCGCGGAGTTCAGCACTCACCTATTTCCCCCCTGCTACGGCAATGGAACGTCCCTCGCTGTCTGCACGTCTAATGCAGGTCAATGGACCTACATAAGAAGTGATGACATCAGTGGTCCACCAAAGTCCAGGGGCAAAAAAGACTGTGTGGGACCGGTCTAACATTCTGCTTTATTACAGCCCCTAGATCAAAATGAGCATTTCATTCTTGCAAGTGCAGGGGCTAGCCCTCCAGCAAGGGTCATTTTTTTTTTTTTTTTTTTTAATTTTTTTTTTTTTTTTTTTGTAGTTGCAGGGAATTCTTTTAAACCTTTCGCTGCCACCGATGTATGTCATGTCACTAGTAGTAGGTCCCCTTTTAAAGGACTGTCTTCTTTACACTGGAAATGATTCTGGCAGCTGAGCTGCCGCCAGATCGCTTCCAGGGGCAAGTAGTGTGTGCCCTCCCACCCGACTCCCCCGCCTTGGTTCCCAGGCTCTGCTGCCCCTCCTGCGTGCCTTGGACCGGCATCATGGGTGTCGGCAGGAAGCAGGGAAGGACACTAGTGAACATCCACTTGCTGATTCCCTGCCCACTGAATGGGACCAGAAGCAATGCTGATTGCTTCACTTCCAGTCCCTCAGCTGTCATTGCTCAGCTGCAGAAGCTGGGCAAGAAGCTATTGGAGTGCAGATTGTGCTCCTATAGCTTCTTTGGAGTGGAAAGGTGACACTAGGGGTCTGTTAGCCACCCTAGTGTCACCTTAGAGTAACTGTCACCACTAGTAAGCCATCACATAGAGCCTTGGTTCTCAACTGGTGGGTCGCGACCCCGTTTTCAGTGGGTCGCCGCAAGCCTTCCATTTTTCTAGGTGAGAGGCTCCTCTGCCTCCCCCTAGCGCTGCACTGTCAGTTCTCTTGCCGAGCAGCCATTCAAAATATGCTGCCTGGGGCCGAGTGTCAGCTTGAGGTGGGGTGGGGCTTTTGCCTTGAGAGAGCTCCATTCCGTCCACACTAGTACAGTGCATTAATCACATAGTACCATGAGATTAACACACTGTACCACGCAATCGCACCTACCGTGCATTCTGGTGTAGGAGGTGTGTTGCGTTGTCATTCATTTGAATGGCACCCCAAACGCGCCTCCCACCCACAGTTCGAACGCCCCTGCACCGGAAAGCGGGGTACCCTAATGCCATGCGTTCCATTGTAGTGCGACTTGGGTCGCGACTTAATGGCTAAGGACAAATGTGGGTCCTGAGGTTACACAGGTTGAGAACTACTGACATAGAGGGCTTGTATGTGATAGCAATTAAGTAAAAGAAAAGAAAAAAATTACATGTAAAAATAGTCCTCCTGCAAGTGCGCATGCACATGTCAGCATACAAACATGCCGGGTGCACCTATGTACGAAAACATTGTGGTAGGTATCAGTATTGGTGAATATCCTCCTGTGACCCAAAAGAGAACAAACGGTAAAAAAAAGGTTTGGCCATAGTTTTTTCTTTTAAGGCCTAGAGGGTGAATGAGCAAAGATCAATAGCTTCCCCCATCCACAATGAAAGACTCTCCACTGCCAGCTATTTTATTCAGTCAGGCTCACTTACAACAGGTGGAAATGGACTTTAAGAACAATAAACATTGCTAGGCTAATTGTCTTCCTCCCAAACTCATCAGCATGTGTGTTGGGGACTTAGATTGTGATCCCTTTATGGGCAAATAGGATGATATGAAAGGGTATATATACTTTGAGTAATATGGTGATCCTGTATATATAAAGTCCATTCTTTTTTTTTTTTTTTTTTACCCTGCACGCCTACTATTGCTCAGTAATACACAACTCTAACAAATACTCATCAATGAATGCTTTTTTTTTTTAGAGAATAACAACAAAGAATGCATTTGGACTACATCTGATTGACTACATGGGTGACATTCTGAAGGAGAAAGGAAGCGAACTTACTAACTTCAAGGTGCGTTTGTCACTCAGCTCTTACTCCTATTATTGTGTGTTTGTGAGTGATCTTTTTATATTGATGGAGTTTTCCTCTACAGGTTGCTGCTGGGACACTGGATGCCAGTGCCAAGATCTATGCCGTGCGAGTAGACGCAGTGCATGCAGATGTGTACAAAGTATTGGGAGGCCTCGGAAAGGAATCACAAGGATCAGAGCAAGCAGCAGAGGTCCAGGATGCTGGTATATAATCCTGATTATTGATGCTAATCCTCTTTTTCAATTCAACAATTCCTGCATGGAATATAGGTCGCTGAAACACAGACATAATCACGTTTTTTTAAGTATAATTGTAATATCTCGTACACACACATTTTATGTTGACAGCCCCAGCAAAGTGTAAATAGGATAGAAATGATCTGAGTGGTTGGTGGATGATTTAGTATTAGCATGCACTTGATTGATCCTGATGTTATTCTATTTAAAGGTGATGCTGGTAAGGAGCCTCAAAATATGAAACGGAAGAAGAGGCAACACTCTGTGGATACTATTGAACAGAACTTGAACAACATATCTCGCTCAGCAATAGACCGTGCTGATCAGGTGAGAAGCCCCTGTTAAAGTGACACTAAACTCTGGTGGTCTCTGGCATAAACTTGCAATTGTATGTTCAATTCCCTGTAGTAAATTGATGAGCTAATCTGGAGAAGTTGGCTAAATTGCCTAAACTGACAGTTTGTGTTCCCTCAGTGCCCTGTCAACCCAGCTTTTTAATGTTGACGTTTGCATAAGCATAGGCAGTCTCTGCTTTCTCTTTCCATGCTGGTTAGTGTAGAGCACCTGAATTAGAAGGTACCTGATGGCAGCTTGTGCTTTTGACTATTGCTACTGCTGTCAGGTTTTAGGCTTTTTGCTAAACTAACAGAATTTCTTTACAAGGGCTGAATGCCCGTTTTTTTTTTTTTTTTGTATATCATTTCATCTTTGCTTATAATGAAGACTAAAGAATGTTAAAAAATGTTCTTCTTTTATTTCAATATGAAATGTTGTACATTCATATCATCTACGCCCATATTCAGCCAGCAGGTGGACTTCTAGGATCCTTTTCTAAGATGCTTTTCACATTTATTTTTAGTTTCTCCTCCTGTTGTTTACAGAGCTGTATAGCTCAAGCTAAGTTTAAGCCAAAATGTTTTAAACCATTTCCTTTCAAGAAAGCCTGTCCTACAAAGCTGATAATAGCGGCAGGTGACTGATGGCATAAGCTGCCAGCACACGTTTGATGCTGTATAACCTCAGATAATCTGTTTATTGGTGCTGCTGTGAATGCACATGAGTTAGATGTTCTCATAACAAACATATGGGTGCCCTACTGTAGACGTATATAAATCTCTATGTACACATTTACTGATGATCACGTTTCTGTGTTTCTGCAGATTGACCCTCTCTTTCAGAAAGCAGCTGCCTCATTTGATGAATGCAGTACAGTGGGGGTTTTCCTGACTACTCTGCATTGTTCCAATTATCACAGTGAGCTGCACTTTGATAATTACGTGATACCACTGTCCACCATCCAAGAGGAACAGGACCCAACTCCAACATCTGTTGATACAACTGAGCTGAAAGGTAGGTCATTTAGGTGCTGTACTTCCAATATACACTATTTTAGTGTTTACCTTCTTTCCTTTGCTCTTAAAGAGAACGCATAGGGGCTTGTACATATTTTATTATGTCAGAGCTAAAACTGTAACATTTTAAAAAGGAGAATTATGAAATATTGCTTAATCAATATTTTATAATTGGAATTTTTTATTCAATTTTTCACATCAATACATAAAGAAAAGGTACAAACTAGACACGCATATCACAACATATACACTATCGATTCAAGCCGTATACACGTTATATGTTAAATGAGGGATCAGACATACATCAAATATAACATTCCTATCGACCCGTTCTCTTCCCGACACTAGGTATAATCCTAGAGCATACAGGGTAAGTGTCCACAGTATGGGTTGATGGAGGGGCCTACAGTCCTGCATTAGATTAATACCACACATTCCAGGGCGCCCTATGCTTAGTAAATCTATCGCTCGACCAGGATGTGACAAAGCTCTTTTGTACTGGCAATTAATATGAACCAAGGATACTTCATGGTGGATCGTAGGCAGGTCATTAGTGCGCCATCTTCGTGATATGTTTAGTCTCGCGGCCAACAGCACATGAGAGACTACTGTTTGCACATGATAGGGGATGTCTTCGATTCCCAGATTCAGGAGTGCCAAGTCCGGTCTAGGTACTATCTGTCTACCCGCTATGGAAGATATAGTTTAGAAGACTGTAGTCCAATATTGTTGGAGGCATGGGCACGACCACAATACATGGAGCAGTTTACCAACGTGACCACAGCCCCTCCAACATAAGTTGGAGTTAGAGGGAGAGATCTTAGCCATACGGTAAGGGGTTAAATACCATCGCAAGGTGATTTTATGAGACAGTTCTCATAGGTTGACACATTTAGTCACTGATTGTATGGACTGAATCGCTTTGCACTACTGAGAGGGAGAATATCTTGCTCCCAAATCCTCTTCCCATTTATGGAATGGCAAATATTTTGTGAAACAGTTCTTCCCCTGCAGCATTCCATACATTAGGGAAACATGGGGGTTTGTGTATAACTCCCATATTGCAGCAGGAATGGGAGTCGCTTAATCAATATTTTGAATTCTGCTTTTTGAGCCAGTAGATGGTGCTTTAGGCTTATTTTCACATTTTGTCTGCCTCCTGAACTCCGTTGAGTAAAAAGAAAGCAACAAAAAACCCAAACTATTAATGGAAATCAGTAGCTCAACCTAAAATTTACAAGCATAAGCAAGATGAGTGACTTATCCCTGTCATCCACTTTCTTGGAACACGACTGCTGTGCTCTTTCTTAGATCTCTCCAAGTTCTCCGGGAATCCTTTTCCATTGATTTAACCACCTGCTGTCCGGTCGTTGTAATTAAATGGCCGGACAGCAGCTTATTGAATGCGGGTGGGCGTTTTTAAACGTCCCATCCCGCCCCACTCTTGCCCGCCGCTGGGCGGCGCGCACGAGCGGGAAATCAGCCTGGAATGTAAACAGCCAGCGATGGCTGTTTACTTTCAAGCATTCGGGTGTCTGTAGAGACACCTGATCGCTTGTAATATGCGTGCAGGTGTGCGCCCCCCTCCGCCGCTGCTGGCGATTCCCAAGCTCCGCTGTGCCTGGTGCGAGCCCGGGACCAGCACAGCATCTCTGCGGCCGGAGATCAAACGGAGCTCAGTACACAAGCTCCATTTGATGTCCTCCTCCTCTTCGGAATGCAGGAAGTGATGTGTACTACATCACTTCCACATTCCTCTGTCACTCTCCGGTACAGAAACCGGAGAGAAGCAGGTGATTTGCTTCATCAGCTTCTCTGGGGGTCCCTAGGTGACATTGGGGTTCTTAAAGACCCCTGATGTCTCCATAAAGAGGACCTGACACTGAAAATTGGCTATCACAAAGGGGGCTTGTTAGTCCCCTGTGTGATAGCAATAAAGTTAAGTGGGGGGAAAAAAAGGTTTAAAAGAATGTTAAAAAAAATTAAGTCACATATAAAGGTAATTAAAAAAAAAAATTTTTTAGGTCCCCCGCCCCCCACATACACATGCAAACATGCGTTGAGTGCGCCTACGTGCGGAAACGACGATTGCATCCATTACGCCGCACATGTTGCATATCGCTGCGAACGTCGCAGTGAGAGCAATAATTCTAGGCCCATCAATCACTGATAACACTAAACTGATGAGTAGTAAAAGCTTTTAAAGCGTCGCCTATGGCCAATTTTGGGTATGGTAGTTTTTGCGAGTTTGCGGGCGCACGCAATTTTGAAGCTTGACATGTTTGGTGTCTATTTACCCGACATGACCCCGACTTTTATATTTTACCAAAAATTTGGGTAATAATAATTATTTTATAACATAACGTAGGGAAAACAGTTTTTTTTTTTTCTTCTCAATTTTCATTACTTTTTTCATTATATATTAAAAAATAAAAGCCCCAGTGGTGATTAAATACCACCAAAATAAAGCTCTATCTGTCCCCCAAAAATGGTATAAAATTAATTTCAGTCCAGCGTTGTATGACGGAATAAATGACAGTCAAAGTACCGCAGTGCTGAATACTGAAAAATGGCCTGGCCAGGGAGGGGGTTTAACACCGCGGTCAGCAAGTGGTTAATATTTATAAAAGAAATTGTGTGTGTGTATATGTATGTATGAAATTGTAAAAAGTTTTTAGAATTGATCCAGAGCCATTATAGTTTCCCTTCAAAATGGTATGGTCAAATGGTGAGCTCATATCTCGTGAGAGGACACTGTGTGCAAATTCCACTTAAAAGTGACATTTAAACCTCCTGGATTCTTTTATTTTTTTTAATTTCCTCGTTCTTAAGTGGTATCCAGACTGGACACCCCCGTATGGGTGCCTCTATCAGCTAGCCGACCTGCTTTGGAGGCACCCATATATGCACAGTCACGGCCAAGCCCGCCCCTAGCTGTGTGCATCCTTAGAGACACACACCGCGTGGGTGCAGCCAGCCACACTCCCACCCTTTGCAGTCATAGCTTGACTGACAGCGAAGGAGCCATGGCTTTTCTGCCCTCAGTACCCTCACCCACAACCAGGAAGTTCGGGGAACCCCAAGTATCTTCCTGGCGGAGTAGAGGAGCAGCTGCAGGTAAGTGTGGGGATGGCAGGGGTGTTAGGAAAGTTTTGGGTATTTTTTGCCTTAATGCAGAGAATGTTTTACAGGTATCGGGATGACTAGACAAGACTTAAGCTGTATAGAAAAATGCCTGATAAACTCTTACAACCTTAGTAATATTTGCACTATATTGCTAGATGGTAATTTACTCATTAAGATAAATTAACAAAGAGGAAGTTAGGCATAGTTTCACAGAATATTAAAATGTATATCAAGCCATAACTTATTTTATTAGTATTGCACAGAGCATGGGGGCAATGACAGATTTTCTCTCACTTCCTCCTGATGACAGTTTTGCCAGACAGGTGAGGAACAAAATCCTCAATGATGACTTGCAATAAAACGCTGACCTGGTTTGTAACCTTCACCTACGCTGATAAAAATTGCAGTTTTATCTGTCCGTTGCTGTTAGAAATTTTACCTTTTTACTTCTTGTCTGGTAAAACCGGTGTTAACATGATAGGAGAGAAAAGAAATCTAACTTGTCTTCAGATAACTAAAAAACACAACTGGTTTTAATTCTACAATCTCTACACAATAACGGGGAAACATTTTTTTTTTTGCATTACACACTTTAATGGAACTATAGCTATGAAATTATAATGCAATTTGCTTTGTGACCCAGTTTTCATCTCCTGGTGGAGTCTTATCAGAGATATATCTTCTCTCTATGCAGCTCTTCTGGATCAGTGTGTGGAAAAACGTCCCCTATGTCCATCACTTGCAAAATTTCGACTGATGCAGCTGGGCGGCAATGTCACGGAGGAAGTATGCTTTTTTTTTTTTTTTTGTATAGTCAGATACTTTGTATATCTTGTGAGCTTTTAGTCGGATATAATAGTCCCCATATGGGAGCGGGACAGAAGCAAATGATCATAATTTAAAACAGATACTAAACATTTACACTACTGTGAGGGGTTAACACCACTTAATGATAAGTGAGCTTTTAGAAATGTGCATATTTAGGGCTCTGTCGCTCCAGCAGTGTGGGCTACATTGCCCAATGCAAAATGTGCACTGAAAAAAAGAATGACATGTAGCCTCCCGCAGCTCAGTGCATTCAAATACGCTTTAAAGCTCACCACACATATTACAACCTGATTTGATTGTGCACCCTCCATTAAAGGAGAACTATGGGGTAAGTGTTTTCCCCCCATAGTTCTCCTAAGGGTCACGGAAGAACACAAACTAGCGTCGTCCTCCCATGACCCAAGCTTAGTATATAGTGAGCTACAGCTCGCGATATAGGGACATGATGGAGAAGTGAGCGAGCGACGTTGTGTGTTCGCTCACTTCCCGATCTATTGAGCTGACGTGTGACAGTTTCATTGCCACACGTCGGCTCGAACTATGAGGTTGAGTAAAAATTACTCACCTCATAGTTCTCCTTTTTTAAATCTACCAACAAGTTTGTAGTGCACAGGCTTGCCTGGTTTGTATAAAGGTTCATTGGATTGTTTTGGTAGGTCTAAAGTTGATTGTGCAGTGAAATTGTAAAGTGTATGTGATGAGCCTAATGTGTAACAACATGCTGCAGTGCATGCTAATACAATACATTCTGAAAAAAAATGTTAAATGCATTGCAGCACAAAATAAAAACACTTTGTAACATATGTGCTCTAATGTGAAGCCCTCACTGATGGTTAGTGAGGATTTTTATAACTTATAAAGTACTCGGTTCCTGATGGTCCTATGTTTTGCTTTGTCACCACTCTTTCTACAGAATCTGTTGTCATTAACGGATAAATACAAGGAGAGCAACCATGCCTTTGATATGAATGCAGAAATTGAGGATGATGGTCCTGAGCCTGCAGGTCCGGAGATGGATGACTTTGATGCAGATGTGTGTGATGGAAATGAAGCAGAAGATCTGGGAGAGTTCGCAGAGCAGCGAGAGGCTTGCCGGGCAGAGAGAAAAGGGTATGGCTTTCTTTACAGACCCTAGAATTAGAACAAGGGAACCTTTTGTAAAAGTGAGGAAAGGGTAACGTGTGTGTGTGTTGAGTTTTGGGTCACAGGAGGACATTCGTAAATGACCTGTGACCCAAAAGAGAGCCAATGCTAAAGGTTCGGCCGTAGTTCTCTTTTAAGCTCCCTATACAGTATATAGTTCGTAGCACTTTCTGTTGTGCCACATTGTCTGACTTGCTTTGGAAGAAGGCTTCTGATCAGTTCCCTGTGCCTAAGGATATTTTACCCAGTGTCCAGCATTTCCAGGTTTACTGTGCCCTGCCCCAACACTATTTACTCTGCAATATGCAGTCCCATTGGCAAGCGTGTTGCTGGTTGAAACGATGCTGCTTTTCTGCAGAAAACTGCATCCTGTAACAACTTCAGCACTGTAGTGTCGCTTGTCAGCTTTGTAATCCGCATGCATTTTCCTGTCACTGTCATTGCATGCAAGTGTAGAATACAGTGAGCCTCCAAACTATTAAAATTTAAGGCCTGAAGTCTGCTCATCCTAGATGTGGACACAATTCTGCAAATTATGATTGTGAGAGGCATGAGGTGTCCTTAGTTCTTTTACTTATAATACTGTAAATGTAAAGGACTTCCTGACTGCTGGTTAAGACACACTCCTATCCTCTTTTCTTATTACCTTAGCAATGTTAGGTCTAAGCTGTACTAGGAATCTTCTGTTCTAATCTCAGTTTTTGATGTAGTTATTTTTTTTTTTAATCTCTTGTATCCATTACTTTCCTTCATTTCATCCCGGCAGGTCACAGGTAACTCAAATTGCGGATGCGGACATTGGCACCATGTGCCTACAGCTGTCATCTCGCCCTGGAGAGTACTCATACTTCAGTCCCCGCACCATGTCCATGTGGGCAGGCCCTGAACATTGGCGTTTCCGGCCTCGGCAAAAAGGTAGTTGTCCTTCCTTTAATCAAAGTCAATAGGAGGACTTAGCATTGTAGTTCTCTAATCTAAATCTATTCAATTTTAGTTGAGATTGTTGGTGACAAACAGAAGATCAAGAAGGCAAAGAAAGTGTTTGAACTGAACTTTGAAGAAGACATTAATTTTCAAACTCACTTTTGTAAAACTAGGGTAAGTTGTGTAATAAAAGAATCTGCTGTGTGTTTCCAGGGCCACATGAAGACTAATATATGTGACCAGCACTGTGTGCCTTTGACCAATTTTAAATTAATTGTATATGCAGCTTTTCTTTACTGCAATCTGTGGCCCTATTTGTGAGACTACCCATCACTTCTTGTACCAGTGACCAGGACAGGATGTGAGGTTTTGGAGATTGTATTCTTGACAAAACCTCAGAAACAAATAAAAACCTAAGGTTTTACCTAGGGATGTTCAGATACCAGTGCCGATGCTTGGCATTTTCAGGAGGACTACCAGGGTTTCAGTGGTTGCAGCTGGGGCCTGGCTCTGGCGCTCCACCACTGTTCTGAAATCATTAGTCTGTATTGTTTTAGAAAAACTACACATGACAGTAAAGAAAAAAGTATCAGTAATTGGTATCTGTGAGTACTGACAACTATCGGTACTTGTACTTGGTCTGGAAAAAAATGGTATTGGTGCATCCCTAAAACAGTGATGCACAAATCCCAGGAGCCCCGTGTGCTCCTTTTAAATATGACAGCTGCCTCCTGACTTTTGAGTTTTTCTCTAGTCTAGTCTTGGACCTGGAAATGTATCAGTACTAAGTGCGGTACTTGGTATCTGAACATCCCTAGTTTTAACCCTTCCCTAATATGTCCAAAACTACAATTAGGAAATCTGGTAGAATACATTTTAAGACAAAACGTGACATAAATTATTGGGGGTTGTGAAGCAAAAGATATGGTATAAATAGGCTCTACTGGAAGCAACTCTGCCCTATATGTGCAATATACTAACTTTGGCATAGTGACTCAAGTTCACCATTGTTGCCCCAGGATTAGAATGAGTCAATGAATGGCTGATCCATCTAATGGCTGATCAGCCTAACCGCACTGGTAAAAGGTTCTCATACCCCTTGATCAAAGTAGTTTTTTTTGGGGGGGTGGGTGGTTATATTAATGAATTGCTGATTTATGGGAACTGGAGAGGAAGCGTAGCACCTACCCATAGCAACCACATTATTTGTTTTGTTTTTTTTTAGATGAAGCCTGATTTGGCTTTTATTAGCTTCTGTTTCCACTTTTGCTCCTGTGGCATTGAATCCAATATATTTTTAGTGTGTTTTATAAATTTATTGCAACAAGGCCTTGTTTGAAGAAGAGGTAGATTTCTGTTGTTGAAGTGAATGTTCTGCTGATAGTTTAATATGTGGCCTGCCCATAATTCTATGTAGTTGTCTTCTAGATATGCAGAGCAGTGTCTGGTTATTCAGCTGAACCCAGTCTATTGCTAAAAACCCCTCACTCATTATTACTACAGGGTAATGGTAATCTGAAATGTTATTGGTTGCTCTGGTTTGAATTGATGTTAAAAAAAAAAAAAGAGTGTATGGAGCAGGGTTTATCCCTTTCAGTTATATTTGTTCTGCAGAGGTGGATATGATCGGACCAATTGAGCCTTCTTGCTCTACCTACTATGTGCAAGATAAGTTTCATATTTTCTAGTTAGGGATGATTTCCTTGGGTTTTTTTTTGAAGGGCAGCAGAGCATAAGAAGAAGTAGTTGGATATGTCCAAAAGTGTACTGTACTTGTAAAAGACCCTACTGAAATATTTATTAGCCCTCCTTTTTTTTTTCCTTCAATCTCCTATATTTAAATAGGCAGCTACAACACTTGCAAAAAGCACACTCGAGAACCAAAATAAAAAAGCCACAACACTGCCTGCTGATTTCCATTATGATCCAGACAGCATTGCAAGGATGAGCCTAAGACCAGCGGACAGGGTATGGT